TTCTTAAAGAAACAAAATATTTACTTACATGAAGAAAACAATTTATTTCAGACAAATAATTAGTACCTTTTAATATTATAATTTCACGAAATATATAGTGATTGAACCAAACAAATGTTTGCTTGTTTTAATACTATGATTTATTTATTTTAATGTTGTTAATTGATATTTGGTCGGGAAAATTAAATTAAAAAACGTTTATTCCAATATTTTTTATTTGAACAAAACAAGTGTACACTTGTTTTGTTGTAAATACGTACCAATTTACAATAAACATTAAAAACACACAATATAAAATTAACAATAAACAAAACATATAATATATGAGCGGACAAAAATAGGAACAACAAATACTTCAGTCACTGAAGTTCAGTGTAAATATTAGTGCACGGCATTAATAAAATACACCAAGTCTGTGGGTAAAAGTCATAAGAGGTCCTCTTATGACTTTTACCCACAGACTCTTAAAGAGGATAAGTCAAAACAAGCAATTTTTCAGCAGAACCTTAAACGTGTTCGCATTAATTCATGAATATATTTCCTGCAGGAAATATATTTATGGGACATTTGAACATTTTCAAAAACTTAATTTATTATTATCAGATAGGTATCTTTGTTGAAAACACGTCCCTAGGTAGGTACCTATAGTTTAAAAACAAATACATATAGTTTGCCAACCAAAATTACTTGCACTTGTCAAATACAAAAAGAAACGGTTTATTTTTAGTTTATGGCCTGTAAGTAAAATGTGCAATTATATTTAAAAGTAACAAGTCAAGTCTGAGACATGCATGATCCAAAATAAAATAGGTACCCATATTATCATATAACTTTGTAGTTTCCAAACTACCTAGGTACACAAAATTTTAATTAACTAACCCTGCTTAAAATACCCCATAGAGACCCTGTTCAAACCGATAGATATTTGTATCGGGATGTATGGTGTTTCTATAGGGTGTATCGGTTTGTATAGGACCCATAGTTGAGATTTATGGTTGTTCTATAGGGATATCCACCATTGATTTATTTGCTATCGGTTTCAATGGGGAAAATACACATAAATGTAGAAATTAGTTTTTTCCCTATAGGACCCCATAGGTTTTAATAAAATTTTGTCAAATGTTTTATGGTTGCTCTATAGGGATATCCCTATATATCCTTCATCGAGTTATTTTCTATCGGTCTCAATAGGGAAAATGTAAAAGTTATGGTGTGCCTATAGGTAATTTCCTATACATTTTCTATCGGGCTGTATCCGGAAAAAACCATGGACAAATGCACATATTGAATCCGGTAGCGCCCGATAGATTATTTTGTATAGGTCTCTATGGGGTATTTTAAGCAGGGAAATCACTTTCACTTACCAACAAAACTAAAAAGCAAATGGGTTAAATTATTTTCTTTGAAGAATTCTTCCATACTATTAATCATAAGCACTTAAACACAAAACTATAACCGTTGATTAAACACCTCCTTCTCTTAAGTTAAGAGTCTTAACGCTTTGCCAAGGACGCTCTGCGAGTTTGTTTGCAAATGCTGCCGGCAGCCGGACAAGCGTCTTTGTCTTTGGAGTCAAATGCTCTAATTGGCTCCGCGAGTCACGTGGACATAAAAGCAAATAAATATGTATTTGCTTCAAGTAAATGTATTTTTGAAACAAACAAATCACGTGTTTACGTTAATTATATGACATACATTGTATCAATTCTATTATTTTGTTAAAATAAGATATTATATGCTTGTATTAACATTTGATAAAACTAAATCCATACAACCTATATCCAAACAATTTAATTAATTGCTCTAAATAAATATTTCTTTACAATTAATCACAACAATAAGTTGTTTTCAAGAAACTCATGATTTACAACCAAATAATAGTATTTTCTTATTGTAAACAAGAAGTTACTACGAATAAGACAATTTTACTTCATACAAGAAAAACTGTTTCAAATAAATGCATTTTCTTAAATCAAGAGATTACTTTTCTCTGTGCATATACCTAAATTCAACCGTTTCTCAAATATTTAAATTATTTTTAAGATAATAAGTTGAAATAGTTTGTATTTCTCTGTCTAAGTACGCCATTTTTACTTATTTAACAAGACATATTGATATAACACGGTGCTGTTCTGAGAGGTGATTTTTGGACTTTCCGTGAAACCTAATTTTTTTTATATTCTTGTTAATAAGGTCATAACTAAAATTTTAAGAGCAAAATAAAAAAAATTTGACGGTTAATTTTGTTTTAATTGGATGTTTATTAAAAATATGTATGCACACTTTCAATTCTCCAATAAAAACTTGCGATTCTGAGAGAATAAAAATTATAGAATACTTATACTGAAAATGACTGTCATTGTCAGACAATTCAAACGTCAAATAAATTTTTAATAGATCTAAGTTTCATGGCAACCTTTAAGGATATATTAATTAAGGGAACATAAATGTATACGTCAAAGGTTAGCTAATCTAGATTAGTTTGAAGTTTGAACGTTTATTGCAACAAAACAGTAAAATATATAACAAAAAATTGTAAAAACCTTTTTTTTAGTTATGCAAATATTAAATATTTAAATTAAATCGCTAGTTTTAATTGGATAATTGAAAGAGTGCATAATATTTTTAATAAACAACCAATTAAAACAATTCAAACCGTCAGTTTTTTTTATTTTGCTCTTAAATTCTTAGTTATTACCTAATTAATAAGAATATAAAAAAAAATTAGGTTTCACAGAAAGTCCAAAAATCATCTCTCAGAACAGCACCGTGATAATGTCACTATAGTAATTTATTTTCAATAACAATTTGGGTATAGTGGGGCTTCTTGATTTTTAACAGTTTAAAAAAAATTTAATGATATATGATGATGATCCATTTCGAATGCGAATATTTCAGAAACGGTTGAATTTAGGTAGGTATATGGTTTGTTATATGAATTATGCTCAGAATTTTACAAGGAATCGAAACATAAATTCATATATAGGGTGATCCATAGAAAAAAAAATAAACTTTTTGTTTTTCCCTGTATATTGATCAATATAAATTTTTTTTATGCGTAGAAAAAAAGTATTTTTTAGTACCTACATAACCACACTCTCAAATTTTTTGGGACACTTAAAATAAAAAAGTTAAAGGGGTGCGACATTATAGGGGATCACCCTGTACACTGTAAAAAGAATCAAGATTTATATTGTTTTTTTCCAATTTTTTTTTTAAGTTCTTGATTTTTTTTTTGATAGATCAGCTGTTAAGTGTAAAGTTGGAACCGTATCCACTTTTAAAGACTTTTTATGGGAATGTAGTTTGTATGTTTTTTCGATCCAATTTTCCTTCTTATAGCAACTATCTTTGAAGCAAATGGAACAAATACAAGCTACAAAACAAACAAAAATATTAACCTAAATTATTTTTTTATTTATGGACAACTTGATGTCATTCATAGACAAGGGATTGGTTGGGTGGGCGGGGGGTTTAGTCATTAGTCAATAGAGTAGGTATTTTAATATTTTTTGTAAATATTTTAGTATATTATAAAAGATCCAGGTTTTTTTAATTTGTCCACCCAATTTAATGTATTTTTTCAAAAGCACGTTTGTAGAAAAACATAATAAATATTCAAAACATCAGTATCTTGGCGTGTCACAACTCCTGAATCAAATATTTGAGTGATTTTATTTTAAAATATAATCAATTTATCTTAAATTTTTCAATTTCACTACAAACTATAAATCATTAAATAATGTATTTTTCATATTTTATCATAGATTCGAATAATTGCAATTTTTAAAAAATTGATAATCTTTTTACTCACTTTTACCCCTCAGTTCTGTGTCCAATCTTAAAATTCAAAATTTCTGCGAAATATTGAAGTTTTAAACGTCAAATCCTCGTTTTAACTCAAGTGTTGGTAAAAAATTACCTACAGAGCCCGCCCTATGCACGACAGTCATCTTGAAAACAATGCAAGGGGCGAATTTGTGGTGAATGCACGTATAGTTCCACTCAAAATTTCAGTACTGTAGTGAGTAGTTATTTTCTTACGTATATATATTTCATTGTAATTTATATAAGGATATACATATGTTATTTGTTGATAAGTAGCATCCACTAATAAAAAATATCAGTTAAATACTTAATTCCGAATTATATTTGTATCCCATTCATCAGTACCATGTCGTCAGTTCCATGTTCGATGTTTCGGTTATCTTTTTTTCGCAAACTTTAATTTAAATTCTGCTTGCGCAGAACTTGTTTATTTAATGTCATTATAAACTCATATAAATTTGTTGTGGGTTCCATATCTAATAATTGAGATATCGGTATACCCAAAATCCACCAGCCGCCACTGATGTGTGGTATTATTTTATTTTAAGATATTTAATGTATAATATGCTCAAAGTTGCAATAAATCTTATATTTTCCAATAAATTATGTATTTAATTAGTACCCTGGTATACTCGTCACTTCCCTTGCATTCAAATTTAGAAAAAACAGATATTTCAGAAACTGTTTGAAAAAGTGACTGGCCCGGTCTTGAACAGTATATGTTTTATATTATCTCATAACAAAATACTGTTTAATTTTCTCCGAAAACTATATAAACAAAATGAGGTCAAAAGTTGCCCAACTTTTGTAGAATCACCCTTATATATCTGTCACAGATATTCTGTGTATACAAAAGGAAAGTACCTCTAAAAAACTACTGCTACTAAATTTTTTTTTAATTAATCTACTTACTATCCTTAACATGAATTTTTTCAAGCCCATACTAAGGAAATGCATTGGATTTGCAGGTTTTTTTCTTTTGGCATTGTTTTTACAGATTTACACTTGGCAGGTAGAGATTTTTTACACTTAAAAAACTTTAAAATAGCTTGATAAACAACTCGCATCAAAATGTAAATAGTCGTAATGGCGGCGACTGGGTTCTTCCACCTCTTCGCCAATCTGATGGAGAGGTGGAAACAGATGCGCAAGAATTAATCGGCTCGTTGCAGACGTTTTGCGCAAGGGGGGCAACGAACCGACGGAGATGAACCTGTTCTGGGACTCGTGGGACCGCAGCCACCCGCTGCGGTCGGGGCTTTCGCCGCGCACGGGCCGCTCCCGGGCCGACCGCGCCTCCGTGCCCGGCGAGGAGAGCCTGCTCTGCAACAACAACAACCACCACCACCACCCTCATCCCCACCAGCAGCAGCACCATCACCAGGTTCACCACGGTCACCACTCGGGCAGCGGAGGTGCGTCGATACCGCCGTCTACGTCCGTGTCGAGCATCAACTCGTTGAATGTTCAGTGTAGCACGCTGCTTGGCCAGCCGCAGGCCCCCCCAGGCCCCCCTCTCACGCCGCCCGGTTATACCAAGGGGAAAGGTATGCATGTCCTTGCCCCCCTCTCTTTTCCTATCTTTTTTTTTTCTATGAAATACCGCGTTTTCTACATAATGGTGACGATAAAACATCCTTTTAAGCAGAAGAATGCTAACCTTAAAACCTCTATTTGGAGGTTTTCCTAAACGTCAGTTTGGATTACATACTTGCAGGATCGACAATTTTGCATTGATTACGCAATACCTTTACATGATGACATGCTAAAATAATCACAATCTAAAATGACGATAAGACCCTAATAATGACAAGCTAAAATGATGATAACAAGCTTAAATAATTACAAGCTAAAATTGTGATAAGTCTATGATGACAAGATAAAATTATGACACGCTAAAATGAAGATAAGCTAAATTATTTTAAACTAAAATGGCCCAGAACCTAAATGATGACAAGATAAAATTATGAATTGCTAAAATGACAATCTTAAATAATTACAAGTTAAAATGGTGATAAACATAAATAATGACAAGCTAAAATGATGGTAACAAGCTTAAATAATTACAAGCTAAAATGGTGATAAGCCTATGATGACAAGATAAAATTATGAAAGATAAAATTATGACAAGCTGAAATAATGAATAGTTAAAATGAAGATAAGCTAAAATAATAAACTAAAATGATCCCGAGTCTAAATGATAACAAGAAAAAAATATTAAAAGCTAAAATATTGACAAGCTAAAATGAAAACAAGTTAAAATGCCTAAATAATGACAAGGTAAAATGGTGATAAGCCTAAATAATGACAACCTAAAATGGTAATAAGCCTAAATAATGACAAGCTTAAATAATTATAGGCTGAAATGGTGATAAGCCTATAAAGACAAGATAAAATTATGACAAGCTAAAATATTGACTAGCTAAAATAATTACAAAATTAAATGCCCCTAAGCCTAAATGATTAAATTATAAAAACCCTTACATAATGACAAGCTAAAATGACAATAAGCCTAAATAATGACAATTTAAAATAATGACAAGCTTAAATAAAGATACGCTAAAATAATGACAAACTAAAATGGTCCTAAGCCTAAATGATTACAAGATAAAATTATTGCAAGATAAATTATGAAAAGCTTAAATAATCATGACAAAATAAAATGAAAACAAATTAAACTGATGACAAGCCTCAATAATGACAAGTTAAAATGGTGATAAACTTAAATAACGACAAGCTAAAATGGTGATAACCTACATGATGACAAGATAAAATTATGACAAACTAAAATGCAGTCAAGCTAAAATGGCGATGAGCCCAAATATTGACGAGATAAAATGCTAAAAAGCTATAAACAACAATCTGCTAAAATGGTCATAAGCCTAAATGCCGACAAGTTAAAATAATGTTAAGCTAAAATAAACCCAAGCTAAAATGATGACAATCTATAAAAAAGCTGAAATGACAATGAACTGAAGCTTTGGAATGAAAAGTTATCAGGCAGATAAAAACATGTTAGCGTAAAATTGACGTTTTTAGGTTATGCTAAACGTTAAACTAACAAATCTATTGAAATCATCAAATTTACTTTTGTCAAATTCTCTTTTCAAACTTGTTAGGATCAAGAAGACTAACATTTTGAGGTTATGGTGAACGTTAAATTGATGGTTGTAAATTGAGTGTATATCACCCAAATTATACTCTTCAATATGGAGTGAATATAATCTTCCTATTTAACATTTATTTTTTTGTTAATTACTTATTCAAAATTGCTAATAATTTTTAAATGGTTTTGGTAAGTCTTATTGTCAGTTCAAACTAAATGTTATTTATGTTCAAAATGTTCATGTTTTTTTCTTTATTTATATTGCTACCAATCTTTAACTATAACTATGATTGTTGAATGAATATGTCGCATTTTGCAATAAATGTTAAATGTTAGAAATTTGTTTTTTAAATATGGTTTAATGAAAAGCGACAATTTTAAATCATGTTTTTTATATTTTCTATTCGTTCCAGAAAGTAATTTCAAATTATTCACGTTCATTATTAATTAACTAGGTATGAAGTTTCCTACAACTCCCCCAGCAAAAAAGAAACATCTGACTGGAAATCTTCTTACCGATATGTATCCCCTTACTAAAAGTAAATCGCATGAATCCGAGTTGGCCGCATCGAAAGAAAATGGCGAGATTTCAACGAAGTGAGCCTTCATCAATGTTATATTGGCCTATCTTAAAAATGTTTAATTTTCTTGTAGCGGTACTGGTAGAAGAGGCAGGTTGCCAACTGAACCTGGCCCTGAAACTCAAGCTGGTTATGGAAGTCCTATTCTAACTAGTCCCATAAAGTCCCCACCGTACAGCAACAGCGGAGGGACTGATAGCGACGATAACAGCACCAAATGTAAGCAATTGTCTTCCCCATTCCTCCTCTATTTTCTTTCTTCTCTTCTCTCCTTTGATATTCCCACAAGTTCAATTGTCAATTGTCATAATTGATGATATATTACTAGACATACATGACAAATATATATATTTTTTGGATAAACGTCAGTAATTTTTTTGTTTTAGAAGATTTTTAAAAATTGTAAAATACATTTAAAGGAGAGTTATTTTGACAATAGACCCTCAAATAATTGTCAAAATTGATGATAAGTTACTAGACTTTTGACGATTTTTTTTTTCTTTTGATAAAAGTCAATATTTTTTTTGTTTTAGAAGATTTTTAAAAATTGTAAAATAAATTAAAAAGAACTTTATTTTGATAGTAGACACCCAAAAAATTGTCAAAATTGATAATAAATTACTAGACTTGCATGACAGATTTTTTTTTGGATATACGTTGAGAATTTTTTTTTAGAAGATTTTTTTAATATAGTCACGGCCAAATCTGTATGGGTGCACGTCATCAACGGCATATGACGTCAGCGTTAAGGTCTATTCATACGTGCCCAGACACAATCTAACGCTCGTGTATTGTTGACTGTTTATAGCGGTGGGGGCTGTTATTAAGATGGAATTATAACGTCCTTGTATAATCTTCTGCACTAACTAATTAGGAGTTTGTTACAGGCAAATTTTTATTAAATGTGTTTAAAGGGAAAACAAACGGAGTTTATTACATTTTTATTACATATGCACATAACAAAAAAATACTAAATTATCAGAAACACAAAAATAATAAATTACCAGTCGTCCTTGTCATCAGAGCAAACCAGGTCAGAATTGAAGTCTGATTATTTCCCCAAATTTATTATTAAGGGCGCAATGTCTTCGAAATCTAATAACGGCTAGTTGCCAACAAGCCTTATATCATTGTTTGCACAATCCAGGGATAGAATCTTATAAACATAATGTATAATATTATTTATTATAATTTGCAACAAACGATGCTTCCGGACGAAATGTCACAATTACAAAAATACGTCAAATATAAAATGACAGTGACCCATCAATAATATTGAACGGTGCGCGCCAGCCTTAAGTTATTACCAACTGGCACACACAAAAATTACTAAGTGAATGGTTTTATTTTGATAATTTCGTGAAAAAACGTTTTAAAACAAGGAAATTGTTACAGTTCTTGGTAAACAATACGCAAATGAATGATTTCTTTTTAATAAAACATCAGAATTACGCCTTAAAAAATCAAATTTAACGGCAGTAACTTTACAATTCAAAGTTGGTAATGCTGACGTCATTATATCTCATTGATGACGTGCACCCATATAGATTTGGCCGTGACTATATTGTAAAGTACATTTAAAATAAGGTTATTTTGACAGTTGTCACTCAAAAAATTGTCATAATTGATGATAAATTACTAGACTGGTGCCCGTATGCACCGTTTTAAAGCCTAAGCCGAGTTAGCAAATCGCGAGTATGTTAATCTTTCTCCATCATAATGCACCGTATAGTGGTATTAATATCTCATGGCGGGTGACCTTGGGCGCGCAAACGTCACAAATCCGTCAAATCGCGCTATTACTCGCCGTCCTAAAAACATACTACCCCAGGGTTGGCAATGCTAGCATCAGCTGATATTTATTGACATATTTAAACATTTATAGGCTAGAAATTTTATTATATTTGTCATATCATATTTGTTACAACTAATATTATATTTGTTATAATATTATATTAAATTTTGTTATAAAATTATATTTTTTATATTTGTTCTATTATTATATTTGTTATATGAAATGAATAACGGCAAAAAAGAAGTCATTCACATCCAAGGGCGGCAGATCGTCTACAACGTTCTCCAATATTTGAAACGCGAGTTAAACGTGAAGTCCAATTCTCTTGAAAGAAAGAACAAAAAAAAAATTATAGAAGAAAAATGTTGCATATTTTTAAAATATGTAAGCCTTTTGTCTGAATTAAAGCACATTTAGAAGTTTTAGAACTTATTCATAATATGATATATACTTGTATTAGCAGTAAATCAACATATTTTGCCATACATGTGCACAAGAAAAATATGAAATAAAAACACAGTTACATTTTTACAGCAAAATTCGGATTCTACACAGATTCTATTCTTTTTTTTTACTGAAATCCATTATATATTTTACAGATCATTGCTTAACATTTGAAGACCTTGCTGCAAAAAGGGGGTAACTTTTACAAAAGTGACTTTTACACCCTTACAACTGTGAACTAGACTATTCTGCATTGTTTAATGCAAATATGACTCAAAAATAACTTTTATGGAGTTAGCTCCTTTTTACAGCAGGGTCTTCAATTGCAGTCATTATCTAATGTAACAATATATTTCATAAAATAAAGAAAAAAACGCTTTACTATATTAGTTGACAGATGACAGATTTGGGAAGCATCCATAGACATTTAAGTTAACTTAAAGGTCTATGGAAGTGGCGGATGTTTTTAGTTTCCATTTATTTATTAAATTCAATGGCGTCTGTCAGCGTCTCTCAAGGTCACCCGCCATGAGATATTAATACCACTATACGCGGATTGTGCAATCTGGATTGGCAATTTGGCAAAGCTGTCAATCGTAAATTCAAATCGATTGACAACCATAGAGAAACAAACTATGTTGACAAACTAAAATTTAAATTTTGTTATATGCCTAATATACAATAGTTTTTGTATAAAATTTTTTTTTGGATCATCCTTCGTCTGTCTACAAAATGGGATACCAGAATTCCTAACTTTTCACCAGCGGAAAAAGAAAATCTAATGATGATTGTTATGTATTCTAAAATATTGGAAGACAAAAAAACTAACAGAACTGGGCTTCAATATTCATTTCATTAAGAAAGTTTAGAACGGTGGGTTTAGTCAATCGAAATCGGCGAAAAAACGAAAAATTGTCCATGGTGTCGAAATATTCGCTCCTTTCATAATTTCGTCGCGGAAATCCAAAATTAATTATGTCCAGAATATCTTGATCATCTTCTACAAATAGTTATTCTTTTAAATACACAGTGGCGGATTTACAAATTTTCAAGGTATAGGCTGAATAGTTTTTGCCGCCCTTGCCTCAACAAGATTTTTTTTGAATTCCAATCGAATTTTCTGAAGCTACTAGTGCATGTGAAACACATAATAGTCGATACATAAAATTAAAATCGGTAAAATTATTCACTAAATTATTCATTATATTCGAATAAAAATCGAAAAATTATATACAAACCATCCAGTTCGTAGCCTCCGACCAGTAGTAAGACTGACATGTATGGGTTGTTAGTGGGAAGAGGGGCATATTTTTTTCCAATTTCGCTCTTTTCACTCATAAGAAGTGTGGGCAAAGGGCGCAGAGGCGAGAGGCCGATTAGTGGTTGAGGGGCGGCGAACTAGCTGTTTTATTCTAGAATATGGAAGTTTGCTACTCTCGGAATGTGCAATGACAAGTGAGAGAGAAAAGTCATCGACAAAATTTGTTGCAGACTTCTATCTGTAAGACATCAGAGAACCGTCATAGAAAAATCTTTTTGATTTCTACCCAGTAAACACACATACGTTAATTAAACGTTTTTTTAAACCGTAACACCATTTTGTTTTTACGTATATTTATAACGTACAATCAACTTTAAAATGTCGCAGATTATAACGTTTAACAATACTAATAAATAAACGTTTAATTTTGGCGTTAAGAAAACGATCATTACACGTTTCGAAATGTTACATTTAACACGTTTAATATACGTCTATTAATAACGTAAATTAATGATTGTTTTTGCCTCATTTATAACGTTTATCTATACGTTATATTTAAATTCATATTAATGTCCTTTCTAACGTTAGTTCTATAATAAATAAAACTCCACAAATACTTGTGTTTACAACGTATTTATTAAACGTTCGTTTAACGTTAACTGCAACATGAATACAGGGTGTTTAAAGGTTGTAGACAATGATTTTTTTCTCCAGCCGTCTACAAAAAAGAAATTTGTTGAACGATGAAAAATAGACGAATTTTTCGAAAAACCCTATAAGATTTAAAAAAATGGCTTAAAAAGCTTGTTTTCAGCTGGCTTTGTTGTTAAACAGATTAAATTCAAAAATTTGTATTGTAGAATATCGCTGGGCCGAAATTTGATAAAAAAAATCCGGTATTTTTAGCGCACACGGTTAATAAGAGTGTTCTCGAAATACTAATTTACAATACGTACACCATCTTAAGGTCTTGTTGAATAGATCTATAAGTTATAGACTATAACCATAGCAAATGTATCTTATCGAGCCGACTTAAGTGTGATTTTACTAGAGAATTCTCTAGTAAAATCACGCCTAATTCCAATTTACGGTAAAAATACACGACCGCCCCTAAATTTGGAAATAATGGACTCTCCACAATTTTAACATCTGTACAGGACATTTATGAGTATTGTGTTTAATCTAAATCAGTTTAATGTTAACAAATTATAATAAGAACATTTTGTATGTTTTAAAACAATTACATTAAAGTACTTACCAAAAGCAGGACGAATCTTACGAGCAAAAAACACGTAAAAAATGCACCTTTTGATAGCAAAATCAAATTGAAAACTGACATAGCGAGCAGCTATGGCATGGCAGCCTGCCATTGGCAGGCCCAATCACATGATGTGTATTTGGCCAATCAGATTGCGTTCTTCAGTTATGCGTTTTATATGGGTATGTATAAACGTATTAAGTACGTTTATTTAAACGTATTAAGTACGTTTGTTTAAACGTATTAAGTACGTTTAAGTACCTTTGTTTAAACGTATTAAATACGTTTGTTTAAACGTATTAAGTACGTTTGTTTAAAAGTATTAAGTACGTTATTTTTATCTATTACAGTAACTGTCTAGTTTAAAGAATGTTAATAAAATAATGCACATTTTAAAGCAACATTTGTGAATGAGTATAGTGTTCTGCCTAAAGCTTACTGTATGACCATTGACTATAGAA